GGGTGATTAATAAATTCGTTTGCACATTTGTGGTCTGAGAATGATAATGAAATGAAATGAAATAGTTTATTCTTGCAAGTAGGACTATATAAATCACTTTTACAATGTCTTCGTAAGCTAGATGAAGTCGACATTTCCTAACTGACTACCCTGAGAAGAATTGTCGAAACAAACTCGGGGGTCTTAGTCTCTTTTATAGTCCAGATAATACAATAATAAATTAATAAATTGGTGTAAACAAATGCAGAATATTTACTGGACTGGTCTTTGGAAGAAAGAACCAGATCGATCTGAGCTAGCCTGTGCCAGCAGACGGCAAGCATGCCCCGAATAGCTCATGCATAGGGATAGGGAAATTCGGTTTCTGCCTATCCTTTTGATGCTACCATTAATTATGTTTTTAAAAGAATTTTTCTTGAGGAAATACCCAAATTGGACGGGGTGTAGGGAGGGGATGTCCGTATCTGAAGAAACTTTTTGCGCATGAACTACGAATGGCCCTATGTCATAGGCCTCATAAAACGTTCGGCCTGTAGGATTTTTTATGGACTGAGAAACGTCTGATGGAGGTGATGGGTGCTGTTGGGTATTAACAGTTGCAGTATCTACACGGTCTACTTTGTTCTGAAAACTATCTAGAGCATTAGCGTTCTTAAGCCCAGAACATATTGAGGGAATTTCAATTTCCGGTATTTGGCACGAGCAATCAGTGTCCTTTTGTTTGTTCCGACGCGTCGGATCGAATCTTTTTTTCCTTTTGTTGCAGTGTTTGCAAATTTTACCTAGTCGCATTCTTTTTCGGTCATTCCGTTGATCCACATCTGTATCCACACTGGACTCGTCCAGTTTAGAAAATCTATTTTCTATTATAATATTACAAGCTACCTCGGGGGGCGAGCCCCCGATATCCGAGGGCTCGTCCATTTTTTCGCCTGACTCCAGGCCTTGAGGAAAAAGTATACAAACTTACCAGATACTGTAGAATATATACACAAATGAATAAACTAAACTATTAAATTAAATTACTACATAAAATATATAAACTGATCTTTAATACAAGTTAAATTAAATTAAAAAATTTCACAACAAAAAACACTCCCGCCACGACCAACGTTTCCCGCGCTTTTCATTATATATCTTTGACATCAATAAAAAAATGATAGCTGACAATTACCACTAACCAATGCCCACCGGCTGGCAAACGTCAAAAAGTAAGTGGCAACTGGCAACTTCGCAGTTCGCAGGCATTTTAGGCAAGCTGCAGAGCTCGATTCGCGCTCATCTTCTGTGTGCATTGTGCTTGTCGTCTACGTCTAGTATTTTAGAAATAAAATAACGCAAATTTAGTTTTTTTATAAAAATCAATATATACATATTTTTAAGATAGACCATTTTATCAAATAATACCTATGACTTAATTCAAGTCTTAAATAATTGATTCTTTCATACTGGCTAGGGTTTGTTGAACGCTGTTTAAAATGTCTCAAGCCGAGGAACCCATGGAAACTGCGGATGTTGGCGACAACTCTGTATGTATTGCAGTGTTTTCACTTTTTATGTTTTAGTCAATCATTATTCTTATACAACTTCTTACTTCACCTATTACAAATTGTCTTTTAAATTACAGAATGGCTCGTCTAGTGATACAACATCGTCTAGAGGCAAAGAGGGCGATTTCGAGAGTAAAATTGAAACTGATCGTTCAAAGAGATTTGATTTTTTACTCAAGCAGACTGAGATCTTTTCGCATTTTATGAGCAATACTAAAACTACTAGTAGCCCTCCTAAACCGAAAGCTGGCAGGCCCAGAAAGAACAAAGAAATTGAAGCAAGTCCTGGAGAGTAAGTAGTTTTGCTGTATTTTAATTGTAGCTCGGAGAAATTATTCTAACACCATAATTTTTTATTTTAGCAACCGGCACCGTAAAACAGAGCAAGAAGAAGATGAAGAGTTGCTTGCAGAAACAAATACTAAACAAAAAAGTATATTCAGATTTGAAGCATCACCACCATACATTAAAAATGGTGAAATGAGAGATTATCAAGTGAGAGGTCTCAATTGGATGATATCATTGTATGAAAATGGTATTAATGGTATATTGGCTGATGAGATGGGTCTAGGAAAGACTTTGCAAACTATTTCCTTGCTTGGCTATATGAAGAATTTCAAGTGAGTTCAAACATATATTTATATATATATATATACTTGCTTATAACTGTTTATTAGCATAAACTAATATATAAAATTCTCTTGTTCCCATACTCCTCTGAAACGGCTCAACCAATACTTATGAAAATTTTTATACATATTCAGTAAGTGTGAGAATCGGACAATATCTATTTTTCATCCCCCTAAATGTTAAGGGTGATTCCACCCCAAACTGTTAATTTTTAGTCAAATCTTTTTATGATACAGCATACAAAAATGCATACAACCCTTAATTCTCACTCCTCTACGATCAACCCCTATTTTTTATTATAGTAGATAGTTATTTTTATTGGACTAAAAAAATTTTTCCTAGAAATAATATACATGGAAAAACAATGTTTGCCGGGTCAGCTAGTAATCTATATTTCAATAGAGTTAAAGTTAAAAAAGTTGGTAATATTTTACAATAATGTACACCTATATATACCTATATAAAAATGAATTGTTGTTATTTGTCTTGCTAAAACCCAAGAATGAATGGACTGATTTGGCTAATTATGATCATGTAAATATTTGTTTGTGGGTAGGTTTAAATCATAGGAATGATGAATAATAACTAAAGGAAAATGCTTATATATGACAAGTGAATTTTTCAATAAAATCTGTTCTTAGCTGGAAAATATTTAATGTTGTTTAAGAAATAAAAAATTGCCACTTATATACTGCCTTCAGAAATTAGTTTTCATACTTGTTGTATGAGACTCTTTGGTTTGTTGTAAAAAATTGTATCAAGTTTTGGCACGAATATGTATAGTAGGTAGTTATATATTTCTATGTATTGTTATTAGGAATGCTGCAGGACCTCATATTGTCATTGTGCCAAAGTCAACACTTACAAACTGGATGAACGAATTTAAAAAATGGTGTCCATCATTAAAAGCTGTGTGCCTCATAGGTGATCAGGAAACAAGGGTAAGATATTTTTCCAAATTGTTTTATAGAATGGCTTTAAGGTGAAGTTTATATATTGTACTAGCATACTCGGCCAAGCGTTGCTGTGGCTAGGGTGTTTGTTATATTATATGGTAGTAAACTATTCAAGGGAAACGGTAGGAGAACACCAGCCATAAGGACCACTATCCTTTTTTGGTGGTTATGCCATTAAATTGTAGCTTATGTGAAACGATGGTAGTTTCAACACAGCACCATCTGTTAGAATTGTGAATAATAAACAAATAATTTGCAATAAAATAATATTGCGGGTATAAATTAAGATGTAAGCTATCCTATCTTTTAAGTTAGATCAAACTGCACACGGTGTGCAAATTTAAGTGAAATTGGTTAAGTAGTTTAGGAGTCCATTGCGGACAAACAAGGTGACACATAATTTATATATATTAAGATTGGTATTATTAGCCTTTAAATAGATATTCTTTAGTCTTCTTTAACATCAAAAAACAAAATTGAGTTCTGATGATGTGACAATAATAGTATGCTGACCATGACTCATGAGCATTATGTGAAATTATTGATAGTTAATCTACTGAAGCATTCCCATAATCACAAAAGTTGTGTAGTAACTTAAAGTTTCGATTTACTTACCTAAAATTGCATTTGGCATAGTTTTTAAAGAAAAATTCAATACCTGTGTAGTTTACATAGTGATTAAAGTAACCTGAAATATCTTTGATGTATGTGATTAATTAAATTAAATCACAATGCTTTGCCTTTAAGGTGAATGTATTAGGCAGCCTGCTTGTCATAGACCCAAAAAGTCTATGACATGTGTTACAAGGCTGATTACCCGTTTGTCTATAATATGAACAACCAATACCCATATAAAGTTGAAGTAACACTGATTTATTGTAAGCATGGCCTCATTTGCAATGTAAATACATGGTCTTTGGGGGAGATGGTATATGCTCGGAGATATTTCATAATATTTCTCTAAATAGTCTTGGCATCGAGAGAGTGAAGAAATTTAAATATCTTGGGCATATGCTATCTGAAAACCTAAAAGATAATATCGATATAGAACGGGCGGGAACGCAGGGCAGTGGCGGCCAGAGGTAATATGTTGGCTCGTAGATTTGCTTGTTGTAGTAAACAAGTGAAAATCACCCTATTCAAGACGTTTTGTCAAAACTTTTACACAAGTAGTCTATGGGTCAACACAATAATGCGTTTAGGATGCTCTTGGTACTGCCTCGTTTCTGCAGTGCTTCGGAGATGTTCACCTAAGCCCGTACAAATGACTTCTGGGCTATTATTAGTATTAAAACAAGATCTCTGTTGAGCCGGGTACGAGGCTTTATCTGAACAAATAAATAAGTAATAAACAATAATAATATATCTGCGTTGTATAATTAATATTTATTTTGTGTATTAAAGGGCCACCATATTTAATATTCAAGACTTCAAGTAAAGGAATAGAAGACCAACCAACTTCCTTTAACACATTTTGTCTATTTCAGAATATCTTTATCAGAGAAACTCTGATGCCGGGAAACTGGGATGTATGCATAACATCATATGAGATGATAATAAGAGAAAAGTCGGTGTTTAAGAAATTCAACTGGAGGTATATGGTGATTGATGAAGCCCACAGGATTAAGAATGAAAAATCTAAATTATCTGAATTATTGAGAGAATTCAAAAGTATGAACCGTCTGTTGTTAACTGGAACTCCGCTTCAGAATAATTTACATGAACTTTGGGCGTTGCTCAACTTTCTCTTGCCTGATGTTTTTAACAGTTCTGATGTAAGTATTTCGTTTGCAGATTTTTTTATTTTGAATTTTTTAGGCACATTAAATATAGTATATATTAGATGTAGTTAATCATTAGTATAAATTAAATACGAAAAATAACTTTTGGAGTCATTTTATAAATAATTCAGCTTTTTAATCAAATTAGTCCATAAACCACTTTTAACAAACTTATTAAACTTTATTATTTAACACAGTCGATGTCGTTTAAAAAAAATAACTCGACAAAATCATAAAGTTTTTAAATTCGATAGATTTAGTTTTAGTTTCTACTATAATTTAGTCAACCGTGCATGCGAGCGAATGAGTGAGCGTGTGGGTGCATGCAGTGGCGTAACAATAGGGTGGCAGGGCTGGCAAAATGCCCGACCCCCGACCCAAGAGAGTCCCTGCCCAAGAGATATTATGTTCTATGGATGAGGGTGAAGTCTCTTAAGCTAGCGTGAGGAATACAGACCATTCCCTCTCGCCTAAGAGAGGAGGCCTATAGCCATTAGTGGGACATATACAACATGTAATTGAGAACGCTGAAAATATCGAAGTTTATTATAATTAAACTGAGTACAACGTGACGATTTTTACTGACTGGGCCCCATCAAAAGAATTTGCCACGGGCCCCAGATGGTATAGTTACGCCACTGGGTTCACGCGAATCTTTAAGTGGGTGTATGAGTGCATGTTAGTGTTGGAATACGTGTTTGGGTGTATGTGAGTGAATGAGTGCGCGTGTCGCTGAATGTGAGTGAATGAGCGAGTGTATAGGTGCAAGTGAGTTTGAGTGAGTGTATGGGTGCAAGTGAGTTTGAGTGAGTGTATGGGTGCAAGTGAGTTTGAGTGAGTGTATGAATCAACTAACACGATGTTAGGTCTAAGGAGTATCTGCAACTCTGCATACGGTGTTCAGAAACCAGTACTTTAACTGGTTTTTATATCGTGGACAGCAGGGTATTTAAATTATGTATATATAATAACATTTTCAACTCTCCAGGATTTTGATGCATGGTTCAACACAAATGCGGCTCTTGGAGATAATCAACTGGTGTCTCGATTACACGCCGTCCTTAGACCGTTCTTGTTGAGACGTCTCAAAGCGGAAGTTGAGAAAAAGTTGAAGCCGAAAAAGGAAGTCAAGGTCTACGTTGGCTTGAGTAAGATGCAGAGGGAATGGTATACCAAGGTTCTGATGAAGGATATTGATGTTGGTTAGTATTATACTGCTGTGGTTGTGGAACTGTGAAATCGGTGGGGTCTTCCCATATCGATGGAGTGACGATATATTTCTCCGACACTGTAGGTTGTAACTTAGGATTGATGAAATATAATGTATATGATATAATAATGGTTTTTTCTTGCTGTTTGTCGTTTTGTTTCGTTTCGTGTTTTTGTATTATTTTTTTTATTTTAACTCTTTAGTTAATATGGAATTTAAATTTGTATTGTGGTGTAGCCCTTCAAGCACCAAGGTTAACCCCCTCAGTTTTGTGGTGCTATCTGTACTTTTAGTTTATATAAAATATTAAGAAATAATAATAAAAAGTTAATATTATAGTATGACATTCACATATAACGTGTTTTCTATTGCTAAAATAAGTTTCAAAAGCGAGACATTTCAAAGTATACCTCTTTACAATATTAGCCAATTGAAAAGAGGTTAATCCAAAAGGGGCAATAATTAAAAAGGGCATAGCATCAAAGGCCGATTTTTTTAATAAAATTAACACATCAGTGGCGCTACAACCTTTTTAGGTCTGTGCCTCAGGTTTCTGTATCTGTTTTATGATCATTTGGCAAGTAGGTGATCAGCCTCCTGTGCCTGACACACGCCGTCAACTTTTTGGGTCTAAGCCAAGATGGTTACCTCAAGATATTTTCCTTCACCGTTACATGAAAGGGTTAAATGCGCACATAGAAAGAAAATCCATTGCTGCACAGCCGGGGATCGAAATTACGATATCAGGGATGAGAGTCATACGCTGAAACCACTAGGCCAACACTGCAGATTCTATAAGTCTTGTGTTAATTTGTCTTTAATTTCAGTAAACGGCGCGGGTAAAGTCGAAAAAATGCGTCTTCAAAACATTCTCATGCAACTTCGTAAATGTTGCAACCACCCATATTTATTCGACGGAGCCGAACCCGGACCACCCTACACCACCGACGAGCACTTGGTGTACAATTGCGGAAAATTGGCTATTTTGGACAAGTTGCTCCCGAAACTGCAAGAACAGGAATCGAGGGTGCTAATATTCTCCCAAATGACGAGGATGCTGGATATTTTGGAGGACTTTTGTCTTTGGAGACAGTTTAAGGTATTTTTATAGTTACTTGATGCTGTGGATATCCTGTGTGATGAGTGGGTTCCCTCTTGGGCCTTCAACCATTTCCAGACATCTCTTTGTCAGTAGTCTGCCAGTCTCTTCCGGCTATTTCTATCAAGTCATCAGCCCACCTTCTTTTTGGCCTGTTCACTCTTCTTTTTCCGGGTGGACCCTCGTTGGTGTTGTCTTTAATGTCCATCTGTGGTCATTGTCATTTTAATAAAAATTATAAATATATATTTTTGAAGTAAAATTTCTTTAGGCGCATGATGGTAATTTTTTTACGGATGAAACGCAATAATAATATTAGCGTCACAAACATGTGCAGCATTTTTGTTGAAGAAAAGGGAGAGAGCTATTGAGACCGATTGAGAGAGAGTGAGAAAGGGCGAACGTAGCATGAAGCAAATAGCCATGAAGAAAGAGTAGGGAGCAAGCAAGTGAGAAAGATCGAGAAAGAGTGAGATAAAGCGAACGTCGCATCACGCACAGTGACAAGGAGTGAGAGGTGGGAGAAAGCTATAGTTAGAGAGAGAGAGAGTAAGGGAGATCGAGAAAAAATAACGCTATTGGTTGATGTATTCGTTTAGTAGTTATATATTAGAACTTTAGATGGAAATTCTATCGCATAACGTCTTGTGCAGTAAACGCAGATTTTTATTTATTTATATTATCATTAGCACGTATACAGTATGTAAACAGTGTGAATATAGATATACAAATACATGGAGTGATCATATACTGGTACATGATCATGTATTACCTTAGTAATAATTAATTTACAAAGAAGTTTCACTTCTGATCTGTGTAAAGTACACGCACTTTTTTTTAATATTCCAGTACTGCCGTTTAGACGGTCAAACGCCACACGAAGATAGGAACAGACAGATTGAGGAGTACAATGCGGAGGGGAGTGATAAATTCGTCTTCATGTTGTCGACTCGGGCTGGTGGTCTGGGGATTAACCTCACCTCGGCTGATGTCGTCATCATTTATGACTCCGATTGGAACCCGCAAATGGACCTACAGGCTATGGACAGAGCTCACAGGATCGGACAGATGAAGCAGGTATAGTTCACTATACTCTGATTTTTAACATGTCAGAGATGACAAACCTTTTTCAATTTCAATACGAGAACATTGACACGATTATTCCACGTTCTTGGGGAGTAAAACGGCCCATGTTTATTTTGAGTGTATTTTACATTTGTTCACTACACAATTTTCAACAACAGAATGACAAGAAATGTCATATAAAAAAATAAACAAATTTTCTTTAGTGCCAGTACTGCCACTCAGTGCATAATAAAATGATAAATTCGTTTTAGAAAATAAATTAATAAAACCTATTTCTAGGTACGTGTGTTCCGTCTGATAACAGAAAACACCGTAGAAGAGAAGATCGTAGAGCGAGCGGAGGTCAAATTGAGACTGGACAAATTGGTGATCCAATCAGGTATTTAAGGTTATTCAGAAAAGAGACAATAGCGGTCTTACTCCCTTTAAAAATGATTTTGACATATGTAAGTTTAGTCTCTGAATATTCCAAAACTCAATCAAATATTTAAAAAAAAATGTTCTTTGCTAATAGCAACTTGACAGCTAGAGGTCGTTGGCCTATGATTTGAATTTATATTTTTCATAGAAAATATTTTATTGTTTTTAAACTACGTAGAGTTTGTTTTCTGGTCTACAAAATACTATTTACCAACAAATATATAATGTAGTACAGAGAAATGCGAAAAAGAATAGAACATCATTAAAAAAATAATTTACAACAAAAGAAATTAAAACTACCCACATTTTTGATAATTTACAACAAAAGAAATTAAAACTCCCCACATTTTTGATAATTTACAACAAAAGAAATTAAAACTCCCCACATTTTTGATAATTTACAACAAAAGAAATTAAAACTACCCACATTTTTGATAATTTACAACAAAAGAAATTAAAACTACCCACATTTTTGATAATTTACAACAAAAGAAATTAAAACTACCCACATTTTTGGTAAAATAAAATGAAATTCCATGTTTGTAATCATTATATTTTATGACATTTTACGATTAACAGGTCGCCTTATGGACACGAAAAGCCACCTTAACAAAGACGAGATGCTGAATATGATCAGACATGGAGCCAATCACGTCTTTTCATCCAAGGACTCAGAGATCACCGATGATGACATTGACTCTATACTCGCTAAGGGAGAGACCAAGGTAAAGCGTCTTCTTTTTGACATTTAGATAATCTCTGAAAATAAAAGAGTGTGTGTACTTATGTACACGCGATAGAAGTTATACTTCTTTGGAACAACATAGTTGGAATCAACAGAAGCAATAATTAAAAATTATATATACCGACAATTAAGCTCATATCTATAAATGCACTCAAAACAGTTTATTCAAATCAGTTTTATCCCTAAAATTCAATATATATAGATATACTAATAAATAATAAATTATTAGTAAATACTATCACCGTCGTATATGAAATTGATTTAATAAAAACACCAAAATAATATTTATTTATTCACACTGTTTAATTGTACTGTTACGAAACACGTGTTCTAAATATAAAAATACTAGAACATACAACTTGAACATAGTTATTATCGATTTTCATGCCACCTGGAACTAACTTTACGATGTAGAATTTAGGTGTCGGTGTGCGCGCGCATCGTAAAAATTCACTCTCAATCATTTTTCTCCATCGCGCCAAAAGAAGAATAACTTCAAAAATCTATAAATATGTCGACTTCCACAAGTACTTAAATAATTCATGCTTTCTTGAGCCATTTTTGGTACAACTTAATTCTTACTTAAATAATTCATGCTTTCTTGAGCCATTTTTGGTACAACTTAATTCTTACTAAAATAATTCATGCTTTCTTGAGCCAGTTTTGGTACAACTTAATTCTTACTTAAATAATTCATGCTTTCTTGAGCCAGTTTTGGTACAACTTAATTCTTACTTAAATAATTCATGCTTTCTTGAGCCAGTTTTGGTACAACTTAATTCTTACTTAAATAATTCATGCTTTCTTGAGCCAGTTTTGGTACAACTTAATTCTTACTTAAATAATTCATGCTTTCTTGAGCCATTTTTGGTACAACTTAATTCTTACTTAAATAATTCATGCTTTCTTGAGCCATTTTTGGTACAACTTAATTATTACTTAAGGGGGAAACTAGTTTAAGACGCTGGAATTTTAGTTTTAGTTCGTACATTTTTAACTCCGAGAAAAAATAGTCAGATTTTATTTTATTTTGGAGTATTGTCATGTTTTGAAGTAGACTCAAGATTTCCAGTAATTTGCGCCAGAAATAGTAGCTTTTGAACGTGCTAACCATGGACGATTGCCATCGGAGTATTTTGCTTGCTGCACCATTTAAAGTTCATACACTGTATAATGCTTCCTATCTCATTCTCTCTCACGTTAAATCTTATGAATTTATGTGTCTATCTCTTTTTACTGTCGTGTTCGTTTCATCGACTTTCAAATCACAACGATGCTAAAGAAGTTTTCACTTCAAAAACTCCAATATAATATGGAGAACGTTACGCCAACAAGGCGAACAAACCAAAATCTATTGATTTAAGTTACGTTAAAAACTATATACAGTCAAAACCATTAACTACGATATCGTTTAGAACAACATACCGGTTATATTGACCAAAATCAAATTTGTATGATCTCTAAATGTATGTCATGTTTGCCTTTAAGTGCTTCTCACATTAAAAATTGTATTTTGTGTTCGTTTTTACCAATGTATCAGTGTGCCGAACGTTGGCAAGCTTAATCAATAAATTAAAAAAAAGGTGCGTGTACTTATGTACGCGCGTAAGTTATACATCTTTGGCTTTCTTTATTTTTTTTGAACATTAAATAATTAATAATAAATATTGAGCGTGAATAATTTAACAAAATTTAATATTTAGTATATTATTCAATTATTAATTAAGATTAATAATAATAATTATTTATTATTTTATTAATTCAATTTAATAACTAGGTATGTTTCAATAACCTTTTAACTAAGTAGCAATAGGTCTTTGTGAAAAAGCATTGCTAAATTTCTTTGAAAAAATAATTAAAACTCCTTTATTTGTTTAAAAGGTAAATGTCATTATGTTCATTCAAAATTCTTGGCATAGCTGCTAACTTCACGCATATTCTATTTCTTTTTACTTTTAGATTGTCTTATTCCCATCTCGCTCGCGCACGCTATAATCACACTGACAACTTTGAGTCTCAGGTGCGCGCGCATCGTAAAATTTCACTCTCATCAATTTTTCATAAGGCGCCTAAAGAAGTATAACTTCAAAAAGTTTCCGGCTGAATTCTATTGTATTAGGTAGTTAACAACGTCATCGGCTGTTACGACCAAATATGTGTAGTCTCTTCGATGTTATAACAGATTTTGACTGTATTTTAATTATTTGAATTTCAGACTGAAGAGTTGAAACAGAAGTTGGAGAGTTTGGGCGAGTCCTCGCTTCGTGCGTTTTCCATGGACACGCCCGGAGCCACCACGGACTCCGTCTACCAATTTGAAGGTTTGACAATTCGTGTTTTTCTACATGTATTATTATTTTGCAGGGCAACATACCCAGGACCTCCATAAAATTAATTGTATACAAGCCACGAAGGCAGGACGGTAGTTACAAATAAAAAAGGCCTCAATGTCTGACTATAAGTCGTACACTAAAACATAAAAAAATCCGTGGCGCTTCAACGTTTTTAGATCTGGGCCTCAGATTAGTGTATCTCTTTCATGTTTTTAATCTAATAGGAAAGTAGATGATCAGCCTTCTGTGCCTGACACCGCCGTCGGCTTTTTGTGTCTAAGGCAAGCCGGTCCCACTTTACACGTACACTGAGTGAAAACAATATATTCCAGGCGAGGACTACAGGGAGAAGCAGAAGATAGCCCCGATCGGAAACTGGATCGAACCACCGAAGCGTGAGCGTAAAGCGAATTATGCCGTTGACGCGTATTTCCGAGAGGCGCTTCGAGTCTCTGAGCCCAAAGCCCCAAAAGTCCAGGTATGGATGAATTAAATTCCTAAATATTATTTTCAGACGCCACCAGACTTAGTTTAAGCAAAACTTTTTAGGAAATAGGTTTGACACTTCCCTGCTGCCTAGCTTCTCTAGGGTTCCTATAAATATTTAAACACACAATTTCACAGCTCTTGGGAGCGTTCAATACTTAATAATAATAAAGTATTACGTAACGCAATTTTCAAAGATTTTAGAAGCTCCCTCCCCCCCATGTAACGCACCATAACGTTTTTCTGTACCCCCCCTACCTTAACATTACGTAACATGTTAGTGACCATTAAAGACACAATCATGTTAAACAAAGTAATACCTTTGTTATTGTATTAATTGCGTAATAAACAAAAGAAGAGATTTTTAAGTTATATGTTCTAAACTCTAAAAACTTCTTTGTTTTTTAGTTTTTCTTTAGCCATTTTCCAAATATCATTGGCATTTTTTTGGCAAAATTTTGCTGGCAAGTTAATATTACAGCTTTTATATGCCATTAACAGCTGATGATGCAAATGTCCCGCTATCGAGGACATTACGGTTTTTCCTGTATAACAGTAATGTGCTCCTGTGTAAACTCTAATAAAATAAAAATCACGTACACACAGCCGAGGGATTCCCCGAAACATAAACTTAGCCCCCTCCCGCCCATGTAACGCGCTGTAACGTTTCAAAAGACTCCCCCCTCCCCCCCAAATTGCGCAACGTAATACTGTGCCAATTAGTACATATTGATTATTTTATGAATATATTTAGTGTTAAAAAATAATTTGAAATGGTTTCAGGCCCCAAGACCTCCCAAACAGCCGATCGTTCAAGACTTCCAGTTCTTCCCGCCTCGTCTTTTCGAACTCTTGGATCAGGAAATCTATCATTACAGAAAGACTTTGGGGTGAGAGTCGATCAAATTATAATCCAAAAATTTTCTAACAAAAATGATTCTTGTTCGCGCCTTTTTCCACAGACTAACATTCTCAGTTAAATAAAACGTAAATTTTGACAGATGACAGTTAACAATTTAAAAGAGGTATATTTATTTCTTTATATATATTTATAAATCAATGTTAAATTAATCATCATAACTGGTTGATTCTCATAATTCAAAATGAATCAATTCATGGGCTCAAATACAAATGTATTTGAGCCCATGAACTGGCTATTCTGCTCCTTGACACCACGGGCCTAGTGAGAAGACTGAAAAGGATAATCTAAGCATTCCCCGACACATATATACATATATATTAGGGTGGTCCTTATTCCTAAGAAAAAAATTTTTTTTCTTTAATGTCGCGGGGCACCACGTAATTTGGATATATACCATAAAAAAGGGTTTCAGTATTTTTTTTGAAATTTTTAAATGATATTTAGAGGTCGCTACCAAGGTTTGAATTTTAAATAAAAATTGAAAATCTGTATTTGTTAGAATTCTTTATTTTTATACCCAGGTCTTAAAAATGTTACGAAATTATTGTTATTGTTATTAATTAAGATATTATATAGATATCTGATTTGTTTATTTTAAAGATATAAGGGTTGAATTGTTAGTATTAGGGTACTTTATCCTATACTCTTTTACCATCAAAAGCAAATATTGCTTTTGTTCTTCATTTGTGGTAATTATTTTTTTATATTCTTCCATTCCTCTCAGCTATGTCGTTCACTACTCGCAATGAATGAACGATATTTTTGGCAGCTATATAATCAGCGTTTTCGTTCCAGGTTTCGACGTCTTTTAAAAAAAACACCATGAGAAATCTAGGGTCTGGAAGAATCTTAAGGAATGACTACTCACGAAGTTTTCTATTTTTTTTGTCGATATGTGCGATGCCAAGGTTTATTCGTTTTAAGCAATCTTCTGTGCCTTAAATTTTGAGTACTTCTACCATATTTTTCTTTTCTTGAACTAAAACTTCGTCATCGAAAAACGCAAGCGAAACTATGTCTTCTGACAAATTACAAATTATTTAAAATCTTTATCAGCGCATCAGTAGCTATATTTTTGTTGAAGACCTTAAGTCTATTGATAATTGTAAGTCGTTTCTTGGTGCTGACTGACTCTACAACTACTGAAAATACATATTTTTCTCACAGCTTTTTCGTCCTTCTTCGTTAGCTTAAACTGATGCTTAAATAAATACATTTTTAAACTGTACAAGGCTCTTGCCATCCACCTAGCTCGATGAAGACCAGCAGGTCTCTGAAATGAAACGCTTTTGTCAGGAACACCTCCTAAGGAAATGATAGTAAGATTCAACAGTTCTCTTTAGTCATCTCGAGGTTCATGTACTTGAAGTTGCTTTTATGCAAACGAAATCCTGTCTGCGGCCACTTCTGCAAGAATATTTGCCTCAGCGTCATCAGCTGTTATTGATTTGAAGTCGCTTTGGTCAATAGTGTTACAATTGTTCTTAAATCTTTTGAATTATTGTATATCAGGAGCACTAGATGGGGCAAGTGATCCACTACAGCTGACAACATAATTTCCATTATGTGGTGACAACAAGCAAACCAAAGCTTATTTTTATTCATATTGCGCTCCAGAAGGACGAATACTCCACGCCTTAAGCCGGTATTTACAGCAGTAGAGTCAAAACATTGTCTAACATTTTACTTTATAGCTCAAATTCCATGACTTTATAGCTTCATAGACAGCTGGACGGACAAGCTTCGCTTGTTCCACGTTCCAATTTTGGAACAGCGAGTAGTTGATAAACTCCATATCCTGATGTCAAAATTGGCAGCCGATCTTTAGTTTTGTGTCCAGTAATATCTTCTAGAAGTTTACCCTACCAATGGATTGTTAATGACGAATTAGGTTTAAACTCGCTTTTGAGCGAATCTGCACAGCTTTGCGATTTTGGACCCATTACCGACGCATAGTAGATCTATTGACATTAAATTCTGATGGACCACAGCCTGCACATTTCAAAGTAGATGTCACGACCATAGTTGCTTGTCTGTCACTCAATTTAGAGACATCAAGACTGGTATCTAATTGACTGTTAATAATATAAAAAATATTTTATTTGTAAAAATTTTGACAGCTGGTAGCGACCTCTAAATCTTAACAAAAACAAAAAAACACGTATTTCATATTTAGAGGTATATAATCAAATGAGAAAGTGCCCCGAGGATAATTCAAAAGTCGAAAAATAAGGACCACCCTAATATATATATATAAATTTATAAAGATAGTATTGTCTTTTATTGACATAACTTTTACACATTTAAAAGAAACAATTTTTTAAGAGATTGAAGTTATTTATTTAATATTTACATATTATAAATTTACAATTATTTAATATAATTTTAAATTTATCCAATGTTTCGCGTGCTTTACAGCGTGCGTGGTCACGGTGACTGAAGACAAAAGGTGTTGGATGTCAAAAAGTATCACAGCTATAGAGAAAGTTGCATTATCTGTATTTATTTCCCCGGAGTTGGTATCGACTAAAAGATGGAGGGTTTTGACAGAAATGGTCAAAAATGTTGAATTTATTACATAAATACATAACTTCATTCCGTTAAAAAATTGTTTCCTATAAAAGATAAAGATTTTTAGTTGGACCTATGTTCTACTTGTTTTAATCAGATTAATTGTACTGTTTTTCCTAAATTATTTTGATAAGTTATTGTTTCTCCGAAATCGAACCCAGTAGGTCCAAATGAAATATAAAACGTTTGTTGTTGTGTTCCTTTGAAATAAATAAATAAATAATAATTTCAGTTACAAAGTGCCAAGAAACCCTGAGTTGGGCCCGGATGCTGCGAAAATACAAAGAGAAGAACAGAGAAAGATAGATGAGGCTGAGGCTCTGGCCGAGGAGGAGGTCCAGGAGAAGGAGCAGCTTTTGACTCAAGGTAAGGTGGAAGGAATTAACATAAATTAATTTAAAAAATACTTGATATGTTAAAAACTACTTAACCGATTTTGGTGAAATTTTTGGAACCTGAGTTGAATTACGAATCAAATCTACGAAGGATATTGATGTCTTAGGTTGCATGAAATTTGTGAACAAACATACATGTTAATACAATCAAAGCAATACTGAAACTTTACAGTATAATGACTGCTGGTTTTCGGCTTCACAATCATTTCCTTTATAAGCAAGTCAGCCCCTTCTGCCTGACACGCGTTGATCTAAGAACTTTAAGTTCTTACTTAAACTATGTATTTTAATAACTTTTTCTGTTATTATATTATTTGAGAGTCGAGACCTAGGGTCAATTTTGTATGTCACAATAGACTGTTAGATATAGCGCCAATTCGGTTATGATTATCCCTAGCGAAGTAAGTAGTCGCTGTCAAAAGTTTATTGGATTTTGACAATCTAGTCAAAATAATCTGAATGTTTCTAACGTTTCTATTAATATTATATCTTAAGACCAGTGACGAAACAATAGGGTAGCAGGGCTGGCAAAATGCCACGGGCCCCCGACACAAGAGGGCCCCTGCCCAAGAGATATTATGTTCTATCGATGAATGTGAAGTCTCCAATACGGGCTAGCGTGGGGACAAGAGACCATTCCATATCGCCTAAGAGAGGAGGCCTATGACCATTAGTGGGACATATACAACGTGTAATTGAGTACGCTGAAAATCTCGAAGTTTATTAAAATTAGTAGGGACGATTTTTACTGATAGCCCCCATCAAAAGAAGCCCACGGGCCCCTGATGGTATAGTTACGCCACTGCTAAAGACCCTAGTCCAGCAGTCCCTAACGACTCTTACGAACGACGAAGGTTCTTGAATGTCGAGAATACTTACGCAGAACATTAAAGAACGGAAAGTTGCGTACCTGGGCCACGTATTGCGCCATGACCGCTTCCAGCTCCTTCCTCCTTCTTCGAATGGCGCAGTGTATTGCGCCTGCGGAACAGTTGCTGCATCTGGTACAGCACAAGACATGCTTCCAGAGACTGACAGCCAATAGTGGAGAGGCAATAAAAGAAGATCCATATTCATAAACTACCCATTGCAGATGGGAATCAAACGTTCAACTTAAAGTTGAAACACTTTTTTTTCAGGATTTACCAATTGGACGAAACGAGATTTCAACCAATTCATCAAAGCCAACGAGAAGTATGGGAGGGATGACATCGAAAATATCGCTAAGGACGTGGAGGGGAAGACGCCGGAAGAGGTATTTGGGTTACAACTCTAATTTTTTACAGGGACCTACGGCAACCCCTAAAAGCATACCCATTTTAGTGTTTTTTTTTTCTTTTGAAGTGAAAACTTCTTTAGTGGCGTTGTACACTTTTTTTGGAATGGGTAAAAAATTTTAAAACTCGCGTCAGGACACGTGACACTTGCGTCACTTGCCAAATTTTACACACTTTACAATTTAGTTTTTCAACACAATCTCACAGTTGTATGAATATAAAGAACATCACAGGATGCATAAAAATGTATTTTTTTATTAATTTTTATTATAAGGAATCTTTTCAATTAGCCCTTATTTTTATACGTAAAAAGAAAATCTTGTTGCTTCATTTACTATATGTCAATATTAAATTTTATCTAAGTATTGTAGTAAAATAATTTTATAGGTAATGGAATATTCAGCGGTGTTCTGGGAAAGATGCCACGAGCTCCAAGACATAGATAGAATCATGGGGCAGATCGAGAGGGGCGAGGCCAAGATTCAACGGAGAGCCTCCATCAAGAAGGCCTTAGATGCCAAAATGGCGCGGTACAGGGCGCCTTTCCACCAGCTCAGGATCTCTTATGGCACCAATAAGGGCAAGAACTATGTCGAAGAAGAGGATAGGTATATAATGTTAATTCAAAAACAAATAATATAATTTTCAATATTATGTTTCAATATTTGTTCATGTCTTAGAATAGAGAACGAGTGAGTATGTGGGTGCATGTGTGTGAGTGAGTAAGTGTGTGGATGCATGTGTGTGAATGAGTATGTGGGTGCATGTGTGTGAGTAAGTGTGTGGGTGCATATGAGTGTGAATGAATGAATGAGTGTGTGGGCGCATGTTAGCAAATGAGTGAGTGTTATGTTTGTGAATGAGTAACGTGTTAGGTCTCAGTAGTATCTCCAATTCTGCGTAAGGTGTAGAGGCCAGTTCTTTTACAATTTTTTTTTAATGTGGACGGTGAGCGGGTAGGCCTACTTAATTTATTTTAGATCTACATGCATATTGCGTCTGGCGAAGTCAGTCCTTACTGTCTGACCTTACAACATCCCTACTTCTTTTTATGTACAGACAACAATCATATATAACACAATTTAAAAAAAATTGCCTATTTTAAATTTATATTAATAGTAAAATGGAGAATATTTAATTTGTATGTTGATGGAAATAAGATACGATAACGAATAATAAGAAACAAGAAACGCGCAAATATCATTTTTTTTCCACAGATTTCTAGTGTGCATGCTTCACAAGCTGGGCTTCGATAAAGAGAACGTGTACGAAGAGCTACGAGCGTCCGTCCACGCGGCTTCGCAGTTCCGCTTCGACTGGTTCCTTAAGTCGCGTACTGCTGTTGAACTGCAACGACGGTGAGGCTTTTCGAATCGAAATTTGAATTTCGAACAAGATGTTTTTAAATATAGAACATTAAGATCTATAACAAAAATATCTCGAGTCGCAATTTAAATTTTAAACTAACACGTAGTTCGAAATTTAAATAAAAAAAAAACTAAACAATATTTCAAAATATACTAGTATCCTATTTCGAATCGAATTTAAATTTCGAACGAGTTTCCTTCAATACAGAATACATCGAATTTTTCTCAAAAATCATAAAAAAAATTGACATAACTGCTCTTATGTCATACGAAACAGGTCAATTGTAAGAAGTATGTTGTAAGGTTTCCATTATTATTATGGCCTTGTAAGCGGCCATTTTTGTACTCTCTTACATTTATATATTATTAGGTGGAATGCAAATTGAGTACAATACTTGGCGATTAAAAAGAGTGGCGGAAAGTTTCTTGCCAGTTCTTCTTACCCGCTCTACGCCCTTGACTTGCGAACTGGTAGTAAATGTAAATTTACAATTAATTTAACTTGACGATTCAAAAGTGTACTTGGTTACCCACTTGAATAAAGATATTTTAAGTTTGAGTAAAATTATACATTTGCTTCTGGTATGAAACTATTGTTAATTAATTCAAACGTTAACGGATATCTGTTTATGTTTTCTACAGAATCAAAAACTATATCTTAAATCTATTGGAAACAATAAATTCCGCGCCGTACTTTTTGAATTTATCACAAACAAACAGATAATACGGCAGAGGACTTGTTTGTATATAAAAGTTATATGGTAACTTTCCTGGGCTAGTCGCGGTTAAATGCCGGCCGAGATGAGCTGTCAAGGCCCTTAAGGCTAATAGCGAGATTCTACTGACTTTTGTATTTCTTATCATTTTGCATTGCAATTCATGAATCCGTGAGATTAGCTTTTGAGTTTATTTTATTATTATTTTTTTGGTATAATTTTGATTAAGGTATTTTTTTATAAGATTTAGTTATGCACTTCTTGCACTTTACCCATCATATTTCTCGTTTAGTTTTTTTTTCTTTACTAAGGTTGTCTGGAAGAGATCGCTTGTTAGCGATAAGGCCGCCCGTTCCATCTCCATTTTTATGTATTATCTTGTTTGTTTTTCTATAAATGTAACGAAGTGTAAATAAGTAAATAAATATTCCATAAAAATCACCACTGGGGCCTTCAGACCACCCAGTAGTTAGACTGGTCCAGGATCCTTCCTTCCTTCCTTCCTTCCGGATAGGTTGGAGGAAGACCAGCACCCTCCTTCCTATACAACCTTTTAAAAACATTAGTTAGATAATTATGCTTTAGTATTAATATCAATCATTTACAGATGCAATACTCTCATCACTTTGATTGAACGCGAAAATCAAGAGTTAGAAGAGAAAGAACGCGCTGAAAAGAAAAAGAAAAGTGGTAACGTGAATCCGAACACTCCAGGGAACAATGCTGGTAAAAGTGCCAACGCGGGCAAAAGGAAGGCCGACAACACACCCGACACCGCGCAGAAAAACAAGAAAAAGAAAAAATGAGGTCCGGTGAAAATGCTTTGTAGAAAAAGGAGCATTTTTCAAAGAAAACATTAACAGTGAAAGTGTTTTTATAAACTCAACATGCTCAAATAGCTAATGCGCTGGAACTTTTTCACAATTTATACAATCTCTTGTCCTTTTTTTTTCAAATAAAATGCCATTTAATTTAAAATTTAAATATGGGCCAAGTTCCGATCGCCTCAGCAATTTGCGTCTATAATGTTCGTAGTTTTAGAATGAGTATTCCACTTTAGTATTAAATTTCTCATGATTAAATCAGGTATGTTAATTGTACTATTTTTAGTGTACTCAATAAACTGTGTTTTGTATTTCGACTTTTATTTGACCTTGAAATCAATTTTAGATGATTACTAGCTGCCCCCACGAACTTCTTTTCTCCTTAATGTGATTTTACTTAGCCTATCTTTTTAGTAAATACCAACATGGAACATTTTGCTATGCTACTCCAGAGACTGTTCGGTTTTCTGGAATGAAGTTTTTAGATGTTTCTGTGATTTACTCTATATAAACCTCAGAGTTCAGGTCATAAGCTTTTAATTAACAAATAAAAATTAGGGGTTGATCGTAGAAGGATGAAAATTAGGGGTTGTATGTATTTTTTAAATGCCACAATAAATTTAAATTAAATACATATTTTTTTGGAGTTGACACCCCTTATCACTTAGGGGTTTGTAATATAGATAGTAGCCGATTCTCTCTTCCTACTGAATATGCATAAAAATAATAAAATATAAAACATGGAATTTTTTCGAACTTAGGGTTAGGGTAGAAGGACTCCTTTCTCCGCAATTAGACTCGTGGTTGGTCCGTTGTGCGTACGAGTCCTGGCTAATTTAGCCAGCCTAGCTCCTTCCAGAAGCACAAGTCTCCTGGGCATTTCACAGGCTTCCCGGAGCGACCTCACCGTTCCGAGGATTTTTTCACGTTGATTAGCCACAGCCTCGCATTCCAGGACTACGTGGGTGACTGTTTCCTCTGCGCTGAAACAGCCTCTGCACAGGGGGCTGTCTGTCGCGCCTAGGATAAAAAGATGTTTATTTAGGAGGCAATGACCCGTTATTGTCCCTATCATTATTTTAAGGTTGGTTCTATTTAAGTTAAGTAGTCGCTTTGTCAGTTGCGGGTTTACTGCTGGCAGAGCCACTTTGGACTGTCTGCAGGCCGCACCATGCGACCATCGTTGTTGCTGGAGTTCAGCGGATCTCTGGCGAATCCAGGTTCGCACCAGCGAGAAGGGCAAAGGAAGGAGCGGATACGGGCCAGCAGGCATCATTCCGGAGCCTCTTCTCGCAAGCTCGTCCGCAGCATCATTGCCGAGAGATCCACTGTGTCCCTTAATCCACTGCAAGGTAACCCTATTGGTTCGGGTTATGCCCTCCAGTGCTTCATGACACTCCAGTATTAGTTTGCTGTTGGTTTTTTTGTTTCCGAGCGCCATCAGCACGGATGCACTGTCGGATACGAATTTAATGCAAAAGTCATTAATCCCTAGCCGCTGCACGGCTCTGGCTGCTTCGGTTAAGGCGACACAAGGTTTTTTCGAACTTATACTAAGACAACGAATACTGATATTAAGAAATTTAAACTATCTAATTGTTGTATCGATTGAATAATAAAGCTTTAATAATAATTAATCTCTTTGCACCGACTATTATCAGTTACAATACAAAAGATAAAAGTTTACAAAGAAACAACAATGAATAATAAATAGAAGTAATTTAACAAATGACACACAAATCTATAATTTATTGTCTGTCATAAAGCCATTATTAACAACAATGTAATAAAAACTAGAGAGAGAACCAGTCCACTAAAAGTCACAGAAGAAAACGTGCTGGAATGGGAACGCAAACCTATGCAAGAAAACAATAATTTCCTAGAGAATGTGAACGTAAAATTAACAATAACAAAAAATGTACATGTTATATCAATAGCTAGGGAAAAATACTACATGGAAACATAAAACAAAATTACTATTGCGTAGGAGATATTTCTACTATCCAGCGGCTCCGGCTCCAGTCTACAAGGTATTCCTTGTACGCCTTATGTATATATATGTTAACGTAAAATTGTAAACACCGTTAGATTGTAATCTATCTCGCGAGATTATAAACTGTCGAAAGATTGTGAACCTCAGCGTACTGCTTACAATTTAACGTATTATTATTCGGTAGATTGTAATCTATCGAAGTGAAACCGTCAAATTGTTAAACGGATCGCACCTCGCGCGCTGATTGGTTGAACGGAATATGCCCCGCGCCACCATATTTGTTTGTTAATTCGTCTGTTGTCGAATGTAAATTGATGTCGTGTTGAAAGTAACTCACAGCTTTAGAATTAGTTATATGAAATTGTTGGGAAGTAATCTGTTATTGAACAAAGAAGTTTGAATGATAACTAAGTTAGTGTTGAAAATGAAATGAAAAAAATCATTAATTTTTCTATTTTAATTTGTGTTTGAGGAGAAAATGAGTTGGATTTAGAAATCGGTAACCCGAATCTGATGATACTGATTATGCAAGCCGTAGCGGCTAAGGCCGGTCACCGATGGCGACCAAAAAGCCGAAGCTGCGGAGGCTTGAATAAATTCCCAGTGCTTTGTACGCAAGGGTGGAGGGGCTGCATTTCCCGTAGCGCCGGAGCTGTCCAAGAGGACCTTAGGAGATATTTAAAAATACTCCTTCAAAAGGAATGATCATTTGCCACGAGAGACCTTCCTAATCATGGGCATCTATGATTTGGAACTTATTTAATTTATTCAATGCTAGCTGACTCGGCGAACTTCGTACCGCCTAACAGACAATGAACGTCGTGTTACAGATTAGCTGAATTTCTTAAATAACAACATTATATTTTATGAAATTAATACCATGAAGTCAAAACAAATATAAAGTTCACTACTATCACCGGATTGACAACGTTACAATGTGATTTGTTGTATATTTAAGTAGGTAAAAAAAAGGTAAGTACATAGTTTGATATATTTTGTTTAATATAAAATAAAAACGAACGTATTTGTAACTTCGACACTTTCAACATCTTTATTCTTTATATGTTCGCCGAGTGAGTTCACAGTAGCGATATTTTTTTTTTTTTTTTATAGAACGGGGGCAAACGGGCAGGAGGCTCACCTGATGTTAAGTGACACCGCCGCCCATGGACACTCTCAATGCCAGAGGGCTCGCGAGTGCGTTGCCGGCCTTTTAAGAATTGGTACGCTCTTTTCTTGAAGGACCCTAAGTCGAATTGGTTCGGAAATACTTCAGTGGGCAGCTGATTCCACATAGTGGTGGTGCGCGGCAAAAACTGCCTTGAAAAACGCTCAGTTGTGGAACGGCGGACGTCGAGGTGATACGGGTGGAATTTCGTATTCTGTCTCGACGTCCGATGATGAAACTCAGCTGCAGGTATTAATCCGAACAACTCCTCTGAACACTCTCCATGGTAAATGCGGTAGAAGATGCAGAGTGACCCCACATCTCTACGCAACGCCAAAGGATCAAGCCGCTCGGAGAGGGATTGGTCGTCGACGATTCGAACCGCTCTGCGTTGTATACGGTCAAGTGGAAGGAGCTGGTACTGGGGAGCCCCGCCCAGAGGTGAGAGCAGTACTCCATGTGGGGCCGAATTTGCGCTTTATATAGTTGCATGCGGTGGCCCGGAGTGAAGTACCGCCTCGCCTTGCTGAGCACACCAAGCTTTTTGGAGGCTAATTTAGCCTTTCCCTCCAAATGACCGCGAAACTGAACGTCGTTCGATATGTCAACGCCAAGTATTCCAATGCTGGCTGTGGCTTTAAGAAGAGTGTTTTCGAAAAGAGGAGTAGCGACAAAGGGTGATTTTTTAGCGGAAAACGCGCAAACTTGTGTCTTCTTGGGGTTAAATTGGACTAGGTTTTGTCTGCCCCAGTCTGAGACTCCACGTAGTAGAGTTTCGACTTCAGACACAAGTTTGTTCCGGTACTCATCAACAACTGCCCGAGAAATACCTGCCCGGCCAGTGTAAAAAGTATCCCCAGTGCTGTCATCCGCATAGCAATGAATGTTGCTAAGTTGCGACATATCATTGATATGCAAAAGAAATAGGGTTGGGGATAGAACACAGCCTTGTGGGACCCCAGCGTTCACAGGTTTAAGGTCGGAACATGCTCCGTCGATGACGACCTTGATGCTCCGATCGGCCAGAAAGCTGGAGATCCAATCGCATAATTTCTCGGGAAGCCCATAGGCTGGAAGCTTCGAGAGCAGTGCTCTGTGCCACACCCGATCGAAGGCTTTCGCTATGTCTAAACTTACCGCCAGCGCCTCCCCTTGGACTCAATTGCCTCTGCCCACCTATGGGTAAGGTATACAAGGAGGTCACCAGCTGAGCGACCACGACGAAAGCCGTACTGAGAATCGCTAATCAACTGGTGGCCCTCTAGATACCACAAGAGCTGGCAATTAATAATGGTTTCCATTATTTTGGAGAACAAGGAGGTTATAGCTATTGGGCGATAGTTGGACGGATCAGAGCGATCGCCTTTTTTAGGGATCGGATGTATCGAAGCGGTCTTCCAGCACTTCGGGACAGTGCCGAGCGAGTACAGGTACCGGAAAAGGCGCGTTAAGACCGGAGCCAACTCAGGAGCACAAGTACGCAGCACAATTGGGGGATACCATCCGGCCCGCTCGACTTATGAATGTCCAAGGAAGATAGTGCTTTGCGGACAGCACGTTGCCGGAATGTGATTTCCGGCATCGAAGAATCACACCGCGAAATGGTCGGTGGTGATCTTCCTTGGTCATCCAAAGTCGAGTTGGACGCGAAGAGACAGCCCAAAAGGTCGGCCTTCTCCTTCGCAGTGTGGGCCTGAGAGTCATCTTCCCTGTGCAGTGGCGGAATGGCGGGCTGACAAAAATTCCCTTGGACAGCTTTGGCGAGAGACCAGAAGGCTCGAGTCCCTGAAGGGAGCTGGGCCAATCTCTCGCCAAATCTGGCAATGTGCTCTGACTTTGCCTTAGTGATTTCCCGTTTGAAGAACCTGGAGGCTGAGTTATATGCTGTTTTAAGTTCCCTGGTATTGGCATCACGAGATTTCGCCGCTTCCGCCCATGCCTTAAAGCATTCTCGCTTTCGACGCGAGGCCGCCTTGCAAGAACGTTTAAACCAGGGCTGAGACTTGCCACCGATCGGCACCGCAGAAAATGGAATAAAGAGTTCCATGCCCTGCAGAACCACTTCGGCGACAGAGGCGGCGACGGAATCTGGAGCTTCCGGCGAAAAGCACATAGGCCCCCAAGGGTAGGACGCAAAGAAAGACCGCATCCCGTCCCAATCTGCTGACTTATAGTGCCAAATACGGCGACAACCCATAAAGCGGGGCCGTGAAGGGCGCGTAGATGGCACAGTACTCCGGACCACACAATGATCCGATGAACCCAATGGCGGGTCAACAGAGACCTGATAGTTCTCCGGATGTGAAGTCAGCAGAAGGTCCAACAAAGAGGGTTTATGACCATCCACATCTGGTATTCGCGTAATCGCAGGAACCATTTGTGTCAGGTCGTAGGCTAAAGCAAAGTCGTGAAAGGATCTTCCCGCGTGATCGGTGGTTTCAGAGCCGAGCCAATCGGCATGGTGGGCGTTAAAATCGCCAAGTATCACGATTTCAGCGGTAGGAACCCTTTCGAGCAGGGAATCTGTAGCCATTTGGATGTGCTCAATGAGTCGGTCAGTTTCGGTATTTCCGCTATGGGACCTATACAGGCATGCGTAGAATCGCGGATGGTCATCGCAGTCAACGCGCAGCCAGAGGTTAGATAGGTCCCTTCCTTCAAGCGTCCCGAGGCGACGAGAACAGATATCCTCTCTGACGTACACGCAAACTCCCGCCCGCGGCACAAATGAATGTTCCAATTTGTACCCCGGGTAGGAGAGGTAGGAAGTATCAGCCGGGGAGGAAATCTGAGTCTCGGTAAGAAAGAGCAAGGCCGGCTTCGCAGTCTCTAAATGGTAGTGGACTGCGTTGATATTGGAATTGAGCCCCCTAACATTTGTGAAGTCCACGGCGAGCGTGGACGGGGGTGCCTTTGTTGAATTGCTCCGTTTGCCCCGAGAACGATAACTGTTTTTGTTGAGCGCAGAATTGCCCCCCCAGAATACGAAGGGCAGCCTGTGCGTCCACCACCGGGTGCTGAGTGTCCCGGTGTTGGACGCTCAGAGGGGGATTCTCCACCGCGTTCGCGTGTGGTACCCCCTGGGGTAGATTCTGTTTGTTCTGCACCTTCATATTTCATATGGGGGGGGATGGGCTCCGGGAGTCTCCCTCACCGTACGAAACGCGAGTACAATAAGGCGAACCTATTGCCTCACTTCACGCCGGTTTTCTAAGAGACAGTGGTACTGCCCCGGTCGTGCCTGCCCATTTGGCTGAAGCCCGAAGGCAACAGCATGGCACTCCCACTAGGAAGGGGTTGACTGATTGCGCTGATGAAATAACCTCTGTCACAGGTTATTTCACCAGTGGGCGATGGGGTCGTCACGTCCCGACGCCAAAATTATTGTGTATCTTATGTATTTAATATATACTTTTTCAACACTATAGTATTGGTTTAGTATTGAATGTCAATTTTTACATTTTGAACTAAACAACGCCATTATCCGAATATTGTAAATATAATATCTTGTCGATTTGAAACCTTTATTAAATAATTCTTGAAATCGAAGGAAGAGTTTATCGTATCAACGGGATGATTATTACCTATATGTTTGACATTTACAAAACCCGTTTTTTGATCTTGTAAATTGTCTAATGTTTTTATGGGTTTTAATTATTTTTAACGACAAAAACACAAAAACCATGAAATTCGGTCCAGCCTTTCTCCAGTTATACTTATAAAATAAATAAATCAGTGGCACTATAACCGTTTTAGGGCCTCAGATTTCCGTATCTGTTTCACGATAATTTGTCAATCGAATAGGCAAATAGGTGATCAGCCTCCTCCAGCCGGGGATCGAACCTTCGACCTCAAGGATGACCGTCTAACTAACCAACTTAAATATTATAAGGAAGTAAAAAAAAAGAACAACACGCGTAATAATTAATTTTATTTACACAAATATTATCACATTATGGTCGTAAGCCAATATATATCTTAAATTACAATGTGTAATGGCTCTATCTATGACTACTAAACATCACAACAGCTTAAAATAAACAAACTTAACATATCGTTAAATCATAGTAAACTTGAGCAGTGCTTCGTGGGTTTTTAGGAACTAAACCGAAACACCCACAGATTCAGAGTGGTTTAGTAAAACGACAAGATTTTAAACACGAGACATGACTCCAGTATATTAATAATAAATACCCTCGTGAATTTATTGGATATTAACAAACTGGAGCATATCAGCGCAAAGTTATCTAAATAAATAATAAAGTAATCCCCCCTATAACGCGATTTCTGTAGTGTGAACTTTATAATGATTTGGAAGTCTATGAATAGTTTTGCGTTTTGCACCTGTTTCATTTGTGTTATAAAAAACTAAATAACTTTATTCCTGTGCTCCCAGTTTACGAATTGTTCAAAAAAACGGTTTTACGAGAATACTCCTACAACGCGGTCCGGGTAAACCGCGGTATAGAGGGGCTTACTATATGTGGTAGCAACTTATTTTTAATATACTTAATATAAAAAGGAGGAGTCGAGCTGTATTTGTTTAATAATCGGTCATATGCAAATTTGCGGGTACTTACATCTGGAACTACCCGCTGTATACTAGACACATAGTATTTTAATAAGTTTTAGTGGAAAATATAGATTTTTATTTTAGTTCGCGCAAAGTCGATGCTGACATTTGAATTGTAGAACAACAATGGCAGACAATTATTAGACAGACATTTTATTTTATATATATTAATATTTAAATCATTAACTGAAGTCTATTTGTCTCTGGTTTACTTTTAAACTTGATAAAACAGACACATAAATGTTCACCCTCTAGGCTTATGAAACTTCAATTTGCAGTTTAAATATGGCGAGCTTCGTACATTGACATTTCTGAACTGTCAAAACCAATTTGACACTTTACTTTTTGAATAATTCACGCTTTTCCAATAGTTCGTTCAGCGCTTCCTCCGTTCCACTCAGTCAGGAACCATTTTCCCCATTCTCTTGGAAATTATTTGCATTAGTTGAAAACGGTGCACCTAAGCCATATAAATGTCCGCTGGTACTTTCAATGTTGCCATCAAAGAAAATCTATAAAAAATATCGCAATTAATGAATTTTTTCTCGTTTGTTTTTATAGACGTATTTACTTTTTTGGTTTTAGCGAACCTTCCACAATAAATTAACGATACAATAGATTTTGAATAATTTCTGAGACCCATCAAACAAATTCTTTAGTTTTTTTCTTTTTTTTAAATCAGACACGCGGTCAGGTAGATTTGTGGCCGAGAAGAGTGTCAAATCTCCCTTTTCCTAAAAGATCCTCTTTTTCCTTATATATTTGGTTAAACTATAATATCTGGTGAGCTTGGCGTCTCCCGTTTTATAATATAAGTAGCGTGTAGCTTAATCTTCTAAATTATGTAATGTTTTCATCATCTACCCTCAAGTCAAACCAAACTTACGAGTATGTAGCATGACTCGTACGTCCAATTTCGTTTTTGACATGTGACAGTCAGCTAAGTCTTGAATCCTGAATCCTACTAATAGTACACAAGTGGCTAAGTGTTTTAAGCAACTTTTCTGTTTTCATATTACCTTATACTTTCTTAATTTCTAATTTGAAAAAAAATTGCGTCAACAAAGGACAAGATATTTTTAATTACCTCTTTTATCTTAAAAAAAGCCATTCCAGTGAGAAGAGAGTCAGATCCGGCTTGATGCTGAGGCCCAACCCTTCTAAGCTCCAATTGATCGGCCACCTCTTGCAGACCACCTTTTAAGTTCTTGCACAGTTTCATTAGATACTGTAAAAATATGTGAAAATCCATTTAGGATTATGATTATTTAAACATTCATAATTTCAAGAACCGTTTTGCAAATACACACACATCTTTAAATAAATCAATTTCCAATTAAATGCAAATTTAAAACCGTTCAGGACATTCAAAGGGTGAAGTACCCGTATCGCCTTTTTCACTAATCTGTGTCACGTGATTGACATATAAAAATTAACAATTTTAAGTATGGTTTTGAATGAATCATTATTTCGATTTTATTCTCATACTGTGAAATAGCCTATTGTGCAATAGCCGGCAAAACTTCTTTTAAATTTAGCTTGTCGTAAAATCGTAAACTCCACACATTTGCTGGATTTGCTTTTTCTTTTTTAGCTTGCCTTTGAATTGTAGAACTAAAATTATTATTAAGTACGCATACTTAAAATTGTCGTCGTTGAAGTAATAGGGTAAGCTAACTGCTCTTGCTGCCTTCATCGATGTCTCGTATAATTGGGTTATTGACAGTTAAGCTGGGCCTTGACATAAAATCCCACTAACGCAAAACAAATTTTTATGAGAATGACAGCTCACGTTTTGTCACGTGACCATTATCATGTCGTAAGTAATTGTCTCAAGCTCCTATTCTATACAGCATTCCGTTGTCCTTAATACGTCATACGTCCTAAATACACATTGACGTAGAACGACACGAATGAGAACGTGATTTTGTATTTATGCTAAGCCAAAGCCACTAAACCAATATTGATACAATTTTCAACTGAAAAACCAAGGAAAATATGAAGTCCCCTTGCATATTTCAATGACTATAGAGGGCGATTAAAGTACTTCTTAGGAGCAGATATATGTACTTACTTTAACGTCATAAACTGTTGGAAAATATAATCGTAAGCTTTCAAAAAAGTCATTCTCTTCTTGAGGTAGATTACGATCAGTCAGAAGTTTCAATAAATAACCAAAGTCATAACCGGAATGAAAGCTCAACCATTTAATGTTATCCATAAGAACAATTCCTAAAACCAGTAACAAAGATATTGTTAGTCCATGTTATATGCGTTAGTTTAACCATTGGAAGCGTTTTATTTTGACTTTCATAAGAAATCTCATTAAAACAGTGGCAAAGTTTTCACAAATCTGTTTTAATCCTCACATTTAGTGAGGTTCGGTATGCCCATGCCATAATATGTTTGAAGTCATCTTTTAAAATCAATATTAACTTCTAAACTAAAGCGGTTTTTGTTACCCCAGAAATGATCCCAAAAATATCATATTGTTGATCGGTTACGGAATTTAATAAATATTTTTTGAAGTTATACTTCTTTAGGCGCGTTATGAAAATTTTATGAGAGTGAAATTTTACGATGCGCGCGCACCTATGACACAAAATTCGGAGTGTGATTATAGCGTGCGCAATCTACAAAAAGAAATAGAATATAAGCTAACTTCACGCATATTCTATTTCTTAGCTTAGCAGCTTAACAAGAATTTTGAATATCCATGACAATTGACATCTGACAATGACATTTACCTTTTAAACAAATATAGGAGTTTGAATTATTGTTTAAAATAAAAGATTCTAAAAGAACCTAGTTATTTTCATTATACAAGTGCGAATTTTATATGTGCGTCTGAATTATAATCAGAAATTGAATATCTAAATCAATACTAATTAATATGATAAAATATTTGTGAAAAAACTGTGCCAACCTTCCTGAGTGCTTCAATACAATTGAGGTTAACTATCCGTATGTATTATCGAGTATTATTGTTGATTAAAACTGAAACATGAACTTAATTAACTTTTGTTTATTGCGTTTGTTACAGCAACTTTTTAGAAATATTCTACGACCCTATATATCAATAATTGAGAACAAAGATTTAAGCACGAATACTAATAAGGAGAAAATGAAGGCTTGGAGCGATATTACAGAGAAGTAAACATTTTAATAAGTACCTGCATCTCAAAAAAATGATTACATTATTTAATCAAAACATGTAATTTTTCAGATTTAATCTAGCAAATATAAGGACAAGAGACAAAAAACAATTTCAGTGGAAGTGCACTAAATTGAATAAAAAAAAAGAGTTGTCATCTTATCGCCGTGAAACATCAAAAACAAGAGGTGGAACAAAGCCACCATCACCTTCTCCAGACACAATGGATATGGCAGAGATGATACCGCAACGGTTTGAAGTAGATTTCAATGAATTTGATTGTGATGGTGTCGAGGTAGGAATGTTAATTATAAATATGATGGTGATGTTCAAGGCTCAACCTCTCAAGCATAGGCACATACTTTATTCCCCTACAGGGTAGTTAGAGATATTGTAATACCTCAAAACATCCATGTTGCTCTTGTAGTACCGAAACTCTGTCCAGCCAGAAGTGAGCCCATTCCCACTTATAATGGACAGTGGGTATAATACACCTTAATACCTGAGTGCGAACCACTCACCATGACACTTAAATTAATAGATGTTATTTATATATTTCAGGATATTACAAATAAAATCATTTTGGAAACAATTGCTATCCCAAAAGCAAATAAAGCCAACAATGACAAGGTAATAAATCAGTTTTGACATAACTTGAATACTAAAAAAGCCAAACAAAGGTGTGCACAACAGTGACAACATAACTTAACAATTTCATTATTTTGTAGGATTAAAGAAAGGTTAAAGAAAATCATGTCGAACTGATCAACAAGAATCCCCAAACAACTCAAAAGAAACCTACAAGGAAGACACCGGTATTATATTTAAATTATCTCTATCTCTAAATAGAATAAAAGAAAGTTGCTATCCAGGTCTGTAGCATGTGCTACAAATTATATTATTAACACATTTATATAATTATATTAATATAAATGTGTTAAAAATTTTATAATATGAATTATAAAATTTTTTTATTTTGTAAGAGAATAATTATAAATATTTATTTATTAAATTTTTCAAATGTAAACTGAACTTTATTGACTATAATGACTCCTTTTCCAGTCTTTGATTATTTAATTGTAATTAATTATTTGCATGCAATCAAAATCTATTTCTAATAATGCCAAAGAAGTATAACTTCTTACGCGTACATAAGTACACGCACCCTTTTTTTTTGTTGTACCTGAAGACATCAGTAGTTCAGCGAATTCTAATGGTTCAATACCATGATCTTCATGTTCTCTAAACTTAAGCCCAGAATTTTGTAAAAGATCAATTGAGTCTTGGGCATACATATCTTCCCTGGCAACAATAGATCTGTTAAAAGTTTATAAATCATCTACGATGAAAATTATAAAACATATAACATAATATTAAACTTACTGCAGATTGAATTTAAAATTAAATTGCCAAGTAGAACATCCAGGAGCAGTTTTACCATTTTCATCCATAAATGTTAGCCCTAATTGAATAATCCTCAAAAGATCTACATTACATCTGTAAAAGTTACTATGTTAGGCATATATTGATGCTTTGTTAAGAATGTAATGTTTTAAGAAATGGAAGTTTATATTATTTTGATGTTAAACTTTTACTGATTTATAAAAAGAAAAGGTATTGAACTTTCTGAATGTATTTTAGCTTAACTTAAAATATAGTTACTGGTTTGTGCTATTTTGCAGCTGATATGATCTGATTTTAACCACTTGCTAGTTAAGAATGGCATTATCACATATTGTAAAAAATAATAATTTCAATACCCACCTCAATAATTGATACTGATAATCTGCAGTGGACCTAAATTCACCTATTGGTCTTGCCACGACACCAGGGAATTCAGTATCCATTGCCACCCAGTGATATTTCTGAACAATCTAGTTTTTTTCGAAAAACAATTTGAATAATTATCTAAACTTTAGTTTTGAGAATTGCAATTAATCACCAAACATAAATCTAGATATTTACCTGCCGAATAACATGAAATTCCTCATACAAATTGTAATTCCATACATTTTTTATTGAAGTATCGTCGCGAGAACTTAACAAGTTAAAGTTCGCGGCTATTGGAGAAGACATGGTACGAATTTTCTAAGATTGCAATAAGATCCTAAGTAAGTCAATGTTTTATTTACTTCTGCATTATTACATTCTTTTCATTGTATTTTTTAATAAAGTTAGGGAAATAAGAAGTAGGGTTTTATAGTAAAATTTATATCTTTACTTCTCTTTCTTTGACTTTCACTTTTCAGTTTTCGGTCAAACCATTTGAATTTTTACTTTAAAGTAAAATTGACAATTGACTTCACATCAATATTTTTCACCATAGGCTAAGAAAAGAAGCTATATATTTTAACCAAGATTGCAGATGTGAGATGTCGCTTGACAGAGTACCTGGCGGTTATGTTTCTAAATTCTAGTCTGGCTAATGCACAAACCGTGCCAGAGCCATAAAGAAAAAAAAAAAAATTCTAGTCTTTCTTTCTAGTTTGTAAACTTCCCCCTACTCCATGACTTAGCTGTCACTATTTGCATTTTAATACTTTTTAAAATCCGAATGAGAAAAAAAATACGCTGTCAATTAAGATGTCCGTCTCTAAGAAACATTACTAAATAATTTATAAGTAGGTAGGTATAATATTTAATTTTATGGGTAAAGTATCTGTCTTCCCTGAGTAAGGCTGTGAGCGGATTATAGCATAATTAAAAGTATTATTGCGCATTATTATATGAAACTTTATTTCTTCCAGAAATTGCATTTTAATACCTTTTGAATAAAATATATTTTTAATCACATCTAGCTTTTGACAACTAGAAACTAAAAGATATTTGAGTTTGGAATGTGGTATTAATAAATTTTTCAACCACCAAAGAGATCGGTCACGTTACTGGCTGTCCGATTACCAATAAAACAACCCGTGCGCAGACAGTCAAAAAAAGTTCGTATTAAAGGAAAAACGCTTCAATTATTGTTTTTTCACATTTGAGATTTTTGACTTATTTCTTTTAAATAAATATATAAATATTAGCAATTATTTATCTTTCATAGGTACTGATTTTTTTTTGGAGAAGTGTTGATTGATGTTACTTTTAAAATGGCGCCATACTGTTTTATTTTGGAATACTATAAAATAAATAGAATCAATCATTTCAAATTATTTTATTAAGACGTAAAATAACAATATATTTTATGACTTAGGTTACAATATTATTTGATGTATTTTTATCTTATTTAACCACTGTACATTGTTTAATAATTATCAATTTAGTTGCCAGATAAGCTCAAATATGAATTGTAAAATTTGGTCCAAAGGACTATACATGTACAAGTATGTATGCACCATTTACTTTCTACATATGTATAAGATTCTATGTAAAACGCACTCTTTTCAAAATTCATATTTATTTTATAGTAGGTATATTTAATAAGGAAACAACCGAAATTTTAAAATACCCCATCTTAATTATTATGACTTACGTTTTCCGTAAAACAAAACCAAAATTATATAAATGATTTCCACAAATTTGACTAAATAGATAACCAAAACTTAAACAATTTGTATTAACTAATGTTTGATAATATAGGGGTTTATACTATTTAATATGGACAATTATTAAACATCATGTATTTCATGGAATACAGCTATTACATATATTTTATATACAGGTTACAGGCTTTTGTATGTAGTCCTAAATAGTGGCGATTTTGGAAGATTATCGCCCGCCATCCACCTGAAAGCAAAAATATATTATGTTAAATTAGATATAACGTTTATTCCGCCACCAGTGTTCAACAAGTGCGTTTTTGCCCGAACCGATTTTTTTGTGAATGGTGCATGTGAAATATATAAAAAAATGTACCGGTTTTATGTGTAATTTTGGAAAGCGTCGCTGATTCTTGGCGATTAATGTTTTGATGAAACTTTAGGTATTGTTATAGATGGAGATAATGGTAACAAATTGTTGCCATATCTAGCGTGAAAATTTTCGTCAAGCGAATCGAACGTTTTTCTGATTATTTTACAATCCTGAAACAATTGCTCAAGCGAATAAGTATAATATTTATGAATATTCTAAATTAGGTATAAATAAGCATGGTTCTTCCAGTTGGAAGCATTCTTGGCTTTGCTATTTGATAGCCGTACTCAGAGTCAGAAGAGTAGCACTTGAGCCATGCTTTTGGTTGTACAATCTTTATTTCTGATTTCAATAAAAATATACAGAAACATTTATAAATTATACTTATAATTAATAGTCACCTACTATTAATAGTTACTCAACACAAAAACCGAAAACAAGATAAAATAACACAAAGAAAAACAATGATTACATACACAAATCTATACTTTATTGTCAGTCATAAACGCCAAACGTCACCAGGCCATAAAATTATTAAAAAAAAAAACGCCAAACGTCTGTTAAAGGCGCCAACTTTGGTGTCAGTTGTCAGATGTTAACGCAGGCAGGCTTTTAAATAGTTGCGCTCCCTCAAAGGTCATTATACTTATAAAGATCAGCATTACAGATTTAACTGAAAGCTGAAAACCGCTATTCCCTGCTCTATATTAAATCCCGTAAACAAATAAGTGATATTTCTTAGTTGAGCCTTGAAGAAATTACGCAAGAGTGCTATAATTATAAGATCTTACGATGTAAAAAGTTTAACGTTTATTTTGCCAATTCATAACTGTTTGAATACCGTGGAGCAATGCCAAAACAAATTGTATTCTTTTATTATTTTTTGTAAGGGAGCTGAACTGGAAAATCCGAATGAGAAAAAATACGCTGCCAATTAAGATGTCCCCTCTCTAAGAAACATTACTAAATAATTTATAAGTATAATAATTAATTTTATGGGTAAAGTATGTCTACCCTTATATTGACTCTGAGTAAGGCTGTGAGCGGATTATAACATAATTACACAAAAGTATTATTGCGCATTATTATATGAAACTTTATTTCTTTCAGAAATTGCTGTGCGCGCCATCTGTCGGCTCCGATAGAGTATCTAACCCAAAAGGCCCACAGAATATAATGTTATAAAAAACTTACCATAGCTTCAGTCTTTTTGCGTAAATTCGATCGTGAAAGTGTAAGAGCTAACTCCGACTGTAATCTACTTGAGAGGGACTCTTCGTCTACTGATTGGGAGTTCTTTTTGTCCCCATTGAGAAATTCCAGCTTGGACGGCTCCCTTCTTCCACTCATATTATTCACGTATTCTCCTATAGTGACGGATACAGGCCTGGAATGCTTTTTCATAGTAGCCGTGCCATTGGGAGCCTTTATGAAGTAATTCGAAGGTGGTTTTAAGTTCACATTTCCTGGACTTTGGAGTTTGTATGATTCCAGGGAATCTACATCTGCGTTTGATTCGTTTAAGCTCTTCGATTTTATGGGTAAAGTAAGTTCTTTGTCGTTGTAATCTGGTGTTGGAGTTCGGTTGATTGTAGCGATTTTTTTTATTATTGGCGTTTTTATAATATCCTCTAGCTTTGGTTTCCGGTCGCCATTTATTTCACCGTTGTGGTGGCCATTTGTGGTTGGCATCTGGAAATACAGTTACCATAAAAATAAAATAAGATTACTAAGTAGGGGAAGATCGTTACCCTTCGTACGCGGGGCACATTCATACAGTCAAAATAAAACTTGAAAGAAACAAAGTACCAGTCTTGTTTTTGTATGTGTGCATGAGTCGAGGTACCAACTATACATCAATGAAGTTTCGCGAAATTCGCACCGATAAGAGTGAAGTTACAGGCATGGACGTGTTTTCGCGCTCGGTAAGTAATTTTTGATCAATGTTTTTGTCTCTTGTTACCGTAGATAAAATAAGTTTTCGTGTAGAGTATTCTATCAGTAACTAGCAACTATACTTAAGATACGTATCCAATACTTAATTTATGATGTTTTCCTATTAATATTAAAATAAGTTATATTTTGTTATTCAGTTAGTGGGGTACTTTCGGACAGCACTAGATGGGGCACATTTGAACGAATAGTACTACTAAATTTGTATGATTATTTTTCCGACCCAAATATCGACCAATAGAATTGCACCATTCGACGTCACGTGGTACAACCTACATGGTATTATACTGATAATTTTTTGAAAATTTTCTCTGGTAGTTGCTTCAAGAAAAGTATTAAGTAGTTGTTTTATTCATTATGAAATTCTTATTTGTTAACTGTACATTTCGTCTCATGGTGCAATTCTATTGGCCGACATTTGGGTCGGAAAAATAATCCCCGAATACCACACGAGCTTGAAGCTCTTGTGGTATTATAAGTGAAAATTTGTCGACACGAACTGTCATTTTCATACAAATTAAGTTTTTGACTTTCTACATACACTAAGTACTGTTAAGGCATCTTGACTAAACCCTCTGGTAGGTAGGTACGATTGTGTTAGTGTGATAATTGCTAATTTTTGCATTAACTTTGCCCTGTGTTGCTATTTTTGCCATCGTAGATGTAAATATATATTAATACCTTTTTCTTATTATCTTTATTAAGGTTGATTTTGATGCTTGTGAACCAGATGCTTTGAATAATTTACCAATCCATCAAATAGTAGTTCCTTCGAAGTCAGTTTTGACACCAGAGGAATTTCGACCCTATACGCATGTTGTAACAAAGTAATAAAACAAACAAAATGACGACGACGGCCAGGAAAACCACGAATTTATACTGCCACACCCAAAAATAAGAAGTGCTAATCCGCACCAAAGATCAAGAAATGTGATTCTAAATTCAAGATACATAACTAATTAAATTTTGTTTTACATAAGAAAAGCTATGTACTTTTGGTCACTATACACTATTCTGTTCACATCGCACGTACCGAACTACCCCACAGCGTACGAAGGTACCCCCCAACACTGTACGAAGGTGCCCCGTTGATAGGGCAGATTCGTACGTTTTCCAGATTTAGTTTAAATCATAATTATGGTTAAACCATCGGATGAAATCATTTGTAATTTGTAATTAAATGTTATTCCTTGCAACAATACTTTAAAGAATAGAATCATCTTTATTTTTTTTTTTTTTGACGTTCAAAAGTGCCATTTTAGATGGTCTAATTGAAATAAACGATTTGACTTTGACTTTGAATAATAGACTCTGGGTTATCGATGTAAGTTTCATAACTAACGAAATAGTGAGATATATTATAAAAATGAAATTATATATTATAACAGTTTACGGTGTACGGTTAGTAACTAAATATAATCTGTGCTATTTATACAGGTAATTATTATATACACTAATTGCACAGATTACAGTTTCCTGAAACTTAACGTATTTAGGTATTTTTTACTTCATTGACGAAGCAAGAGTTACCTTGTTTCTTGTTGATGTTGTTACTAAAATTAGTCTTTGTGACATTGCACTCATTTGTCCGCTTCACCGGAAATACCCCCTTTATGTTTAACTTAGTAACTAAAATGGATCTGTGTTGTCTAAATCGAATCTATTAAAGAACTGTATATAAAACTCATGGCATAAAGGTCTAGATACCAGGCCATAAACTCCAAAAAAAAAACTCATTACCATTTAGCTATATGTGGCTTATGAACTATTTTATATATTACATCATTCGACTTACAGGGGGTGGAGGCGGCGGTGGTTTCTTCACAGTCAGCCTTTCTTGTATGTTTTCGACATGCTCTGTTGCTTCCACGGCCGGTTTTCTCAGTCGTAAAGTGTGTTGTCGATCCTAGAACAACATTAATATAGACTATACTATTTCATAATAAAGTATATCGTGAGTACTTTCATATGAAGACGATATAAAATTAAACTCATCGCCACTTATTTCTTTATAGCATAGAGAGATAGACATGGACACCCATTTTAGTGGGTGTGTTGCCAGTCTTTGAAGGAGTATGCTCTTTTTTTAATTTATTAAATTATTACCCCTTTTAGATTAATCTATGCTATTATGGTACAGAGGTAAACTGTGTCCCGCTTTTGAAAATTATTTTAGCAATAGAAAGCCACGGGGCCTCATAGCCTAGCGGTCTTATTAAGTGGCAGCTAGGTGAGGGGTACCGGGTTCGATTCCCGGTTCGAGGGCAAGTTTTAATTTAATTTAAATTTGTTCTCGGCCTTTGGGATGTTCTGTACCGGGCGAGAGCTTAAACCGTACATGGAGGACACGGTCGAATTTCTAAAGACAAGCACGAATTATAAAAAACCCTATACTTGACGCTGGCTAATGCACAAATCGTGCCAGATCCATAAAAAATAGAAAGCCACGTTTTTTGTGAGTGTCATAGGCTATTTTTTAAATAAATAAATCAGTGGCGCTACAACCCCTTTAGGTCTTGGCCTCAGATTCATGAATCTCGTATGTCAAATACATTTTTGACAGTAATAGTCAGCGTTAAGAAGTCTCGAGTCCTGATTTAACCCTTAATTTTAGCATTTCTAAGATAAACAACATTAAAGGAGTTTTTATAATTTTAATGTTAAATTTGACTGCAATACTTATACAGAGTATTAAAGCATTCCAGGAACAACATGTTTAATATACTAATACTATTATTGAAGGAAACCATCGTGAGGAAACCGGCTTGCCTTAGACCCAAAAAGTCGACGGCGTGTGTCACAGGCTGATCACCTACTTGCCTATTAGATTGACAAATGATTATGTTCAAGAAATCTGAGGCCCAGACCTGAAAAGGTTGTAGCGCGATTCATTTTATTATTAAAAATATAATTATCGCAATAACCCCAAGAAATATTACGTAAGTTTATTGTTTATTGTTGAAATATATACATGTAATATGATTAGGATTTGCATAACTTGATTAGGAACTGTCAATGACGACTTTAAGTGGATTGCGAATGGGTTGGAATGTTTCTTAGTACCTGCGGATTAGGTCTTAATTATATGATATAATAACTTGACTAAGAGATATATAAAGTATTAAGATATAGTACAATGGAACTAAGGCATTGACAGAACTGGGAAATAAAAGAGAAACTTGTCAAACCAGTATGGAAAGAAGTACAACAAGAGTAATGACGCAAACATCACATACCGAAAACTAAAGTGGAGATGGAAGGGTCATATGATAAGAGAAAAGAAGCAATCGTAACGGAGTCCCATGAAGTGGGTAACGAAAAAGAGGCAGGCAGATAAGATGAGAGGACGATAAAGAAGGGTCCAATGTGGATTCGAACCGCTTGACAACGCCAACATTGGAAAAAATGAAGTTGAAGGAGATTGCGACAAGTTGTAAATAAAAATAAACGGTTTGCCAATAGATAAATACATACAGTATGTATAACAAATATTATATTACTACTAGCTGACCCGGCAAACGTTTGTTTAGCCATGTATATTTCTAGGAAATAGAAAAATAAAATAATAACTATCTACAATAATTAAAAATAGGGGTTGATCGTAGAGGGGTGAAAATTGAGCGTTGTGTTTTTTTGTCCATCCTTAACATTTAGGGGTTTGAAAGATAGATACTATCCGATTCTCAGACTTACTGAATATGCATATAAAAAAAAATTAAGATACGTTCGAGCCGTTGCGGAGGAGTATGGGAACGAACATTGTGACACGAGAAATATATCTAATAGGCATATTTACTGATCATGTAAGACATTAAAGGCTATGCTTTTATTATTTACTTGTTAGCAGTGTGACTGTTTTGTATTTGAATCTAAATGAAACCTGATCTGAATGAAAGTTACCTAAATTTGGCATGTGCAGCAATTGTCGAGAGTAGCATCATTTTACATCATCCCTTGGTAAGCAGACCAAAGGTATTTTTAATTTAATAAAAGGTATTTTGCCTAACACGTGGACAATCAGATACTTATGAAAATATGTTATAGAATTTACACGTGTGAAAATGACGAGAACTTAGAGACTAGTGAACGAGATCGATGCAATTTAGTTAATTTTTGAGCTGAAACTTATCACGGTTGAAACGCAATATGTAATAATAATATTAGCGTCACGAAGATGGGCAGCGTTTTTGTCAAAGAAAAGAGAGCGATTGAGACCGATTGAGAAGGAGTGAGAAAGGGCGAAACACGCTATTGGTTGATGTATTCGTTTAGTAGTTATATATTAGAACTTTAGATGGCAATTCTATCGCATAACGTCTTGTGCAGTAAACGCAGATTTTTTTAAATTTATATTATCATTAGCACGTATACAGTGTGTAAACAGTGTGAATATAGATATACAAATACATGGAGTGATCATATACTGGTACATGATCATCTATTGGTTTTACCTTAGTAATAATTAATTTACAAAGAAGTTTCACTTCTGACATGTGTACTTTGTACGCACGCACTTTTTTATTATGAAATTCTTTGGCCTGTTTTTCGTAATTAATTTCTATGTTCTTTTGTTTCATGTGTGAATTTTTTATTGGTTATGCATTCTTGTCGAATGTCCATTTTGGACATTTTCGGATTTTCAACCTGGTGCTCGAAAAACATGTTTGGAGTCAGTTGAGAGCTAAGTTTAAAATAAAATAAAGTTTAGTAAATTAAAAATATGTTAAAAGTAAAAAATAAAAGTTAATTAAATATGAAAGTTCTATTTGTTACGCTTTCACGACATCTTTTAAGTTTTTTTGTGTAAAGCCTACTTTTCATCTTCACTGCTCGTAATTTGTGACACGGCCAAAGTATGTATTGGCATCTGTTGCAAACTTTATTTCGTTACTTTCGAACACGAAACAATCTGATCGGCACTAATAAATAATCTGAAATTGTTTTTCAAATCATTTACAATACCTTTATATATAATTAAAAATAACACGGTAAATAACGTAATAATGTTTTTTTTTAAATCGAATTGTTATTTATAATTCTGTATTAAAAGCTAAACATTCATAATTTCAAGAACCCGCCAAAACGCTTCTTTAGACAAGATGGCGTCGCACCAGTCGTCCATGTTTGTAAACACATGTTTCTGCGATTTGTGGGAAATTCTTGAAATTGTGCATTTGTATAATCGATTCAAAGAATCCTGACCGTGTGATACATTAATTGGGAGGTGATTTTTTAACTTTTCGTCACCTTTTACTATTTAACCTTCCTAGAAGTTATAGATCACTGGCGTGTAATGCTTTCAAGGGGAAGGAGATTAAATTTTTAAAGGCAACGTGCCTTTATAGCTTGGGCGAGTATTCGGACCATAAGTTTGACAACAATGAATAGCTTAACTTATTATTATGACATTGTGTTGATGTTCTTATTATATGACTTAATGAAAATTAAAATGACATATGCTATTTTTATACGACTGATTGTGCGGATTTTTATAATTCATCGCTGTAAATGTACCACTTACAAACAAATAATTTATTATTTATCTCAACTTCTCAATATCTTTAAGGCGACTTTATTTTTCATACATTTCCTCGAGAATTAAATCTTCGGGTTCCTTTTAGAATGTTTTAAAATATGTAAGAATTAGTGTTGCATATTCTTATTAGTAGCCAGCGTTTAAAAAAATTTAAATGAAGCACACAAATTTAAGGCAAGCCTTTTGACTAAGTTTGGTCACAATTTTATTTGTTTTACTACAGTTTTTGTTTTTGAACGGCCTCCGTCTAGGTAGACAGATGATGTAGTTAGGGTGGAGGGAAGGCGGTGGATGCAAAGCGCGGGGAACTGGTCGATGACTACAAAAGACAACTTGCAGTAAAAGATAACGATAGCGACGTTCGCGTTTTGTGTTACGCTTTTATGTGATAATAAAAATGTATATACTAGAATAAAGATATATATACTAGATACATATAGTATATATGTCGTAGCCTGCACCATTACTCTGAAACCAATAGCCGACCGACGTTTTTGTATGCAAGTTCTATATGTAGTTCTCTTATTCGGACCAGAATCGCGTGATCTCACTGACCAACTATTTCAAGAAATGGCCGGTCTAAATCAATAAATAATCAACCTTTATGGGTAGGTAAGCAGGCGGATCACTTAAAAGCTTAATCGATAACCTGCAACACTAGGAGAATTGAAAGTGCGTAACCGTCCTTTTGGGTATGCTCTATTCCATCACGTAACGGTTCGGAATTATGTAGAATGGCTGGTTCCATAACATTCCATAATGTTCACATGACGAATATATTATAATAGTTTTGGGTCCCTCATACAATTATTTATTTACGGTTCGTCACATTTATAAAATAACAAATAACATAATACATAAAAATAATAAGGGATGCAAGAGGGGCCTTATGGGTAACAAACAATTTTCCAGGCAACCCTAGGAAGGAATAAAGCTAAAAATAAAATAAAAATATATCTATGGGACAGACTCATTTATGCGTCCAGGACAAAAAAACTTAAATTCCAATTTGTATGCAACTAATGGTTAACAGCCTTTAACTTCGTCCATGAATCCGTTCGTAAAAAGATAAAGTAAAACCAGTTTCAATATCGCAAAGTTCATTCCCTTTCTGCGAAAAACTAAGCATGTTCGCCTTGCCCTCACATTTACGAACTGATTGCTGCGATGTATTTTTGTATAACCCGCTAAGCGGTCTCTTTATATATAAATATCATATATATGATGACTGCATAATATTGCTTTATATATAAATATCTACGGTATAATATTTAATATAAACGAAATTATTTCCAATTGCACGGTTTTATAGAAGTACTCATCTATCTCTTTTCAACATAGCGTAAAACCAATTTGATAGGAAGAGACGA